CCGACCGACAGTCGAGTCATTGTTTACTTACTGGACGAGGAAACGAAGACAAAGAAAATCATGTCTGATACGAGTTTTCCAGGTACTTTTTTCACCATACGGTGTGCGTTTGTTTTTAAGACCATATGTGAATAATTATTTGGATGATCTTCCAGGCACATCAATCAAAGAGGAAACCTCCTGTGGTCCCGAAACCGATCATGCGAAGAAAAAGATCAATCAAAAGACAGACGAGCCAATCTGGGAGAGCTACCCAATCAAGTATTTTGAAAGGTAGAATTGCTGGGCAGCCTTGATGATTATTGGCTCTATTTGTTTACCGTTTGTGCTTGTTTTCTCTATGCATAGCATTTGTCTTGACGTCGAGTTGGTGACGGTCTTTGTGTAGCCATAGTTTCGAGACGAGATGCCGTGGAGGAGCAGAATGCTATGCAAAAGTATGAAGACGCCAAGGCAGCAGCAGAGAGATGCATGGAGAGCGCTGTTAGTAAGCGGCAAAGGGCACAGTTGCTGTTGGAGAATGCAGATTTGGCAGCTTACAAAGCCGTAGTAGCACTCAGAATTGCCGAAGCAATTCAAGCATCAGAATTGCCTGGAGCTGCCGCCGCCGCCGCCGCCGCCGCCGCCGCTTGTTTTCTGGAATAAGATTTTGTTTCCTTTGGGAATATCCCAATTGGTTTAATTATTATTATTGTATAGTATTTCATTAATATGTACATTCTATTTTGTATTATGATTACAAGAATCTCTCAGCACCCACCCATTATGTACAACAACAATGAGATGTCCTGATTTTTCCCAGGTCCTAAATATACCAACTTATCTTCTATGTTTCTATATCGTAATGCTCTCTCATTTCTGGTTAATTTCGATTGTGGGTCATAACCAACTAATTCGTGGGTGATTGTCCTCAGTGAGACACAGCAATCCTCACGAACACGAATGGCAAGGCTGACAAATGAATGATGATTTAGCAAAGCTTCAAATGTCGAATCACCTCAACGAGGGATCCAACCTTCAAATTCGGTTGCTGAGGTGGGAAAGCTTCAAACCGAGCTTGATTCTCTTAACATGTTGACGAGTACTACAGATCAAAACTTGACTCGATCAGTGGACCTCCTGAAGGGTATTCTGGTAAGGATGCCAGAAAAATTAATATTGTTCTCCATGGTCTATCCGTCTGCAACGGCTTGATTACCACTTTTTGACAAATGCTAATTATAAATGTCCTAAAAGGAGCATTTTACAACTCCACAATTCCCTTTTTGAGCTGCTCTTTATCATACTCAACTTCCTTGCATTGAACTCAACGCCATCCAAATCCTCTGCAATGTCCAAGTACATTTCCTCTTCCATTTTTGTTTCCCCCCATTATCACTCCCCTACGCAGGAGAAAACATAGACCGAGTCGCGGTTGATACTTTTTGACTTTGTGTTTGAGAGATGTTGTGAGAAGCACCGGAAAATGGTTTCGCTCATAGACTGATTTTTCGACATCGTATTTTCTCCTTCCAATATCACAATATTCCCCTGGAAAACAACATTGGCACTTGGATTTCGATTCATTACCTTCGCCATTTCTGCACTCACTCTTCCACGTCTCCTTTCAGAAAAGAATTGTCGAGTCTTTCTGCATCCGTCAACCAGAAACGGTGCGCAGGAATTTCAACATCATTACACTTCGATCTGCAGGACACCCTCAAATTCATCTTCACTCTTCCCCTCAGCAGACTTTTACCTGTCATTCAACAGCACGTTAATGCTTTCATACCTTTGCATAACAAAATATATATTTTTTCTCAAGTCCAATAAGTTGTGTGGGGATTGGAACCACGGATTTCTTAATCGAGGGCCAACGCCTTAACCGAATAACAAAATAACTTACATACCATAAGGCCAATTCAAAATCTGCAGGCGCAACAAAAAGAGTTTACTTTCAAGTGAGAACATTAGTCATGCTTTGACATAGATTTACCTTAAATGGGAGCATTAGATATGCTCTGAGATAGAAGTAAACTTTAAACAACATTAGTCGGGTCTATGGACCTAATTGTCTCCCCTTTTTTTCTTATTTGAGGGAGATTCAGCCAAATATTAATCAACACTATTATTTTGAAGTATAAAATGTCACTTACTTCTTAAGAAAGACTCAAGCGCTTCAATCGTTACAACTCTCCGCTTATCGGGATTGCTGTGTGACAGAAAAATGTTGCAGACGATAATAACAGGAGGCCAGATGATAAGATCCTCCTTGTGAACCACTGCTTCTTCCTTTGGCAAGATCTCAGGAACCCATATTACAGTGTCCTGACGAAGAGCTTTCACTTCCTTGGCAGAATATCCAATATTCCTTAAATTAAACCTCCAGCTTTCTTCAAATTCAAGTGAACATGAGACTTGAGGTTTATTCTAAACTACATGGTTTCAAAAGTTGAGTCTTTCATTGAATTCGCACATCAAAACCCTGGGAAAATGGTAAGAAGTCTGTATAAATTGATGTACGACCGATATCCATTGCGGTGCCCTTTTTCAAAGCCAAAGGTTTCTGATCCGTCATCCTTTGTCCACATTTGAACATCTCCCTTGAATAATTTCTCTTTCTTTCCTAATTCTCAAATCATCATGCCTATACCGAACGACATGCTTATAATCACAACTTTGTTGACAGCAGAAAATTTCCTTGGCTGTGATCATTGTGCAGGAACACTTCCTCGTAGTTGGGCATTTTCCTCGCAGTTGGGCATTTTCCTCGCTTGACCATAAGAATGTGAACTTGACCCAATGACATCGTTCCTGCCAGTTCTCAGATGCCAATGCTTGTCCCTCCTTTCAGTGGTATCAACCCTATGAACCAAATCCTACTTCGCGTCCGGAGCCATCAATTCCGTGAGGGCTCAAACTTCTCCTAAGACACGGAGATCGATCCAGTGTCTCCCGTCGGGACTTATCATATCAATCATGATCCAGATGAAGCCGATCCTGAGCACGTAGTTCCATCTTTTACGACTCTCTGACATCGTAATCTTCACACCTTCGACATTGCGTCGTTAAGTAATTAGCTGAATTACTCCTGAATAGCTAACAAAGCCCTGAATAAAACCCTAGAATCGTTGAAATCGATCGATTCGCACCAAACAGTCGCAACAAACAAACAGAAACATTCGATTCCCATGACCTAACCCACCCAATCGAAATATCGAACAGGAGTATGGAACAATAATCGCAATAAAATCTCAACAAACACCTGATAAAGGAATTATCAAACTGGGAAAATTTTCAAACCTTCGGAGGTAGATTTTGTGAATCCATTGATCTTGTTTGCAATACTCCTTCGCTTCTGCTTCCATTGTGGAAATCACAAATCACAAGCAAACAATTTCTTGTCGACCGAAATTTCCTTTCACCTAATACGATCGAGAGCTTGGGAGAACGGCATTGGTTCCGACTAGCGCGAACGACCAAAAACCGATTATTTATAGCTAAATTTGTTAATAGCAGGTTTATATTAATAAATAAATAAATAAAGCTTTTAAAAATACACTTTTTTTTTTCTTTAAAATTTAAATTTATTAACTCGCATTTATTTAGTCCTAAAGCTTCAAAAAATAACATTTTAAGATATATTAATTTAATTTTAAAATAAACTCTTCCTCCTCATACGTACGGTAATTTAAAAATAATTTAATTTAAGATTTACCGCTCTTAGAAGTCTAGTTCAGAGGGTTAAAATATTCCGACACTACGGTGAGATCCCACATCAGTTGAAGAGATGACGAAACACTTTATAAGGGTATCGAAACCTCTCCCTAATAGACACGCTTTAAAACTGTGAGGCTAGCGACGATACTTAACGGACTAAAGTAGACAATATCTAATAAAAACCTAGCGATGTGCTAGCCAGAACGTCTTCACTGGACTGAAGCATTCCTTATACATATATGAAAACCTATCTCTAGTAGACGCGTTTTAAAATCGACGTAATGAGTCGAAGTGGACAATATCTAGTAGTGGTAAGTTTAGACCATTACAACCACTATCGTTTTTGTATGTACGATAATCCTCTCATACGCTAACTAGTAAGCTTGGAGACCTTAGGTCTATCTTAAAGGGCGGGGATATCCCGATCCTGCTTTGTCATCCTCGTGATATTAGGAGCTACACTTCTTGCAACGCTTGATAATTTTTGTTAACTATATAATTATTTATACATATATATTTATTTAATATCATAATTATTTATTCTCCAACCCCTCTTAAAAATAACTTTTAATTATTGGTAAGATAAATTTTCAAAATATTTTGAAATTGAGCAACAAATCTTAATTAAATGTTTGAAAATAAATAAATATTTTACGTTTATTAAGAATAAATATTTGATAAATTACTCGAACCCAACTTAACCCAATTTAATAAAAAATTAAGTTCGGTTTAAAAAATGTCTCAACCCAACTCAACACAACCCACAATACTTCTAGTTTTAGACATAAACCAACGGCTCGAAGACATTAATATATTATAGTTTAATTCGATAAATCTTACATAGATATACGAGGAAATCAGAGCCATGACTTTATACTAGAGATAGCTCAAACAATCTCGAGTTTTTTTTTTTTTTTTTTTTTTTTTTTTTTTTTTTTTTTTTTTTTTTTTTTTTTTTTTTTTTTTTTTTTT